GATAACAATTACATTCGAGCTATGAAAATGTTTAGAGTGAAAGCAAGATCGTAGGATTTAGTGTATGTTTGTGATATGGCGTTTTCCTTCGGTTTTGAATTAAAGAAATGGTCTTTATATATCGTCAAGTTGTGATTAAAATGTATTAAATAAGCAATCGTGGAGAACCTACAAGGTAATAGCACTACAGTTTGGGGGTTGTGCTGGCGGATAATAAATCCTCACCGTAAAAAGGTAACGTGTTACAAAGGACCTCTATAGGACGTCACTTACATTGGGATTTAAAACTAAACAATATTCAAATAATTTTGATGTGTAAAATGGAAACAAAATCTCGTCACCCATGCGAAATCTGTATTTACTTTCGGTTTAATAACACACAAACATGGAATATGAAATTTGGTGTGTTCAGAGGTTATAAATTCTGTGTTATTATTCTTGTGTTAGTGGATTAAATCCAGTTTAACTGCTTTGGTCACTCGTGACTCTGAACGCATTAATCGTGTGAAATTAAACTTTGTTATTGGCATTTCCTCTTGTGAGATTTTACCACTAACACCAAAAGCATCTTGAGGTCAGATATTTGGTTATGCCCGCTATATAACTCCTTAACGCGAGCCCAAAATCTATCACGCAAGCCAAAGTGAAGTCAGACTCTGTCAAAATGCTCATTACATTAGTAGCTGAGGGAGCAATGCATCATCCACACAGCAGTAAATCGGTGGGGTGGGGTGGGGTGGGGTGTTGGAACTAACTCTAACTATAAGACTAGTAGCCAGCCTGTGCCCGGGATCTAGCATGTGTTTAATTTGCGGGATGCTTTGTGCAAATAAGCCGCTTTCTGCCTGCTCTTAGTGTGTATACGACAGTTATAATTATAAATCGTTTGCCCCCACACTTTCTGTCCTCATGGTAGTGGCTGGTACTTCTCACATCTCAAATAAACCGGTGTGTGTGTTTTGTCGACATCTATTATCATTGTTGGCAAACTAACATCTTGCAGGGAAACAAATGACTATCTCTAACCGCTTCTGTTACATAAAACATTGTACTTCTACTACGGTGTGGAAGTGATTAAGGACCATGTAAATATGAAACTAGTGATTCAAGGCAGATAATCTGCCTTCCAAATATTGAGAAATTAATATAAATTAGACTTTTATGTGTTTTTTGCAAAATGTGTATAAAACTTGTACAAAATGGGAGGAGGTCCACGTGTTTAATTGAATTTTACGATTATGTATGATATTTGGGATTCTACATTTAAAAAAGTTGTCTTGCTAATTAAATGTTGCTTCATATCAGTCTAACATAAAACATGAACCACTTATATAAGAAATTCAAATATGAACTTACAGACTTTATTATTATTTCATAATTCAAATAATCTCTATGGTGTGCATTATATAGCATATAGAATTACAATCAATAACTTTTATTTGAAGATTTTCAGCGTGTCTTCTGGATTATGATACCGAATAGTCTTGCAGGTGATAACCAGCGTTTCAGAGGAACTAATCTCTATTTTCAGGGTAGAAATTAATTTTACATTCCTTTTGGTATGATAAAAATGCCTTCAGATACTAGATAAAAAATGGGAGTTCGGTGGGACCGTACATCAATTATTTATAGATTTCAAAAAAGCCTATGATGCTGTGAAGAGAGAAGTGCTATATAATATTCTTATTGAAATTGGTTTACCAAAGAAGGTAGTGAGTCTAATAAAAATGTGCAATGAAACCTGTAGCAAAATTCGAGTAGGTAAATATGTATCTGAGACATTCTTCATCAAGAACGGTCTAAAACAAGGAGATGCTTTGTCTCCCTTGCTCTTTAACTTTGCGCTAGAATATGCTATCAGGAAAGTCCAAGATAGGCAGGAGGGTTTGCAATTGAATGGGACACATCAGCTATTGGCATATGCTGATGATGTTAATTTATTGGGGTACGATATGAATACAATAAAGAGGAACGCACAAGTTTTACTAGAGGCTAGTAGACAAGTGGGGCTAGAAGTAAATTCAGAAAAAACTAAGTACATGTTAGTATCTCGTCATCAGAAGACAGGCAGGCAAAATTATCTTAGGGTAGCTAACAAGTCCTTTGAAAGGGTTACAAAGTTCAAATATCTGGGAACAACAATAACAAATCAAAATGACACTCATGAGGAAGTTAGGAGGAGATTAAATTCTGGAAATGCTTGCTACTTCTCAGTTCAAAATATTTTGTCTTCCCGTCTGATTTCTAAGAACCTGAAAATTAAAGT